TGATAAAAAGTAGTAATATTTTCCCAATGTAAAATAAAAAAGCACTTAAGAGTTTTATTCTTCTCAAGAATAAAGATGCTTAATTTAATAAAAATAAGTCAACCAGCTTACAGCTTGTGCCTTGTCTGAGGCAAAACTTGATTAGCTTCATCCAGGACTTTTAGTGCTGTCTCCCAGTCAGCTTTATCAGCATATATGTGGCATAATAACCCATATAAGGAGATTCTTAATGTCAGATCTTCCTCAGCACCTTTGAAGTATATTCAAATTATTTATTAATATATTGCAGAATTAGAATAATGGTATTACAAAATACTGGAGTTTCTTTTATTACCAGACCAAAAAAGGAAGAACATGCCTGGGGGAAAGCATTCATCTGATAACCCGATACTTTGAAAATCCTTTGTAATCCACTGATGCAAAGGCCACATTGCTTTCTCTTCCTAAAGAGACATAAAAAAAAGGGGAAAACAAAAATCTTTCAGTTATATCTTTAAGGATTATTGAACTTCTGTTTCATCTGTAAACCAATCCATATCATTGATATCAACTAGTAATCTGTAACTTCAATAGCTGCTTGAGCACATGAAAGGTACAGGCATTTCTCCAGACTGAGTCCTATAATACAAACCCAATAAGACAATAACCAGACTCAGTAATATTCAATCATTTACACTGATTAAATAACATGAAAACCTGAAGCACTCTCAGAGAATCAGAGCAGCTGAGGTTGGCAGAGACTCTCTGGAGCTCTCTAGCCTACAGCCCTGCTCCAGGCTTTACCTGTGAAAATCTGACCATCACAAGTCTCAACCTAAGGTAGGAGACTTGTGAACTGCTTTGCCCTCCTCTACAGCAGAGTTTTCCACCTTCAAAGATAAATTCATTATCTTGTTTCAAAAACAGATCCACATATGACATGCTGACTATTGAATACATAAAGGATGGTGCTAATAAGTTAACTGAGCTACTGCCACAACCTTTGGATAAGTATTACATTAGTATCATCAAAGATTTATCAGATTTGATCAAATCAGCATTTACTTCCATGAAGGCACAAAGTATGACTGATTTTGTGCCCTTCTGCAATGGAGTGACTGCATCAGTGGACAAGGAAAGAACTATGGGTGTCATCCACCTGGATTTCTGTAAGACCTTCGATACAGTGCCCCACAACCTTGCTGCTGCTGAATTGAACAGACAGAGGTTTGCTGGATGGACTGTTAGATGGATAAGGAAGTTGCTGGGTGGCTGCACCCAAAGAGTTCCAGTCACTGGCTCAATGTCCAAGTGGAAACCAGTGGTTTCCCCCAATGGTATCCCCCATAGGTTCTTACTGGGACAATACTGTTCAGTTCATCGCTGACATAGTCATGGGGGTTGAGAGCACTCTCAGCAAATCTGCTGGTGACACCAAGGTGAGTGCTGGGTTCATTGACTAGAGGGAAGGGATGTCACCCAGAGGGACCCTGACAGGCCTCAGCAGTGGACCCAAGTGAATCTGGTGAAGTTCAACAAGGTCCTGCACCTGTGTCAGGGCAAACCCCACTATCAGAGCAGACCTGCAGTGAAGGATTTGGGGGTATTGGTGGATGAAAATCTGGACATCTGCTGGTATATGCTTCTCCAGATGTGACTGCATTTTAAAATTGCCCTAGTTAGCCTAATCAAGGATCACTGGAGAGCAGTTCCTGCCTCTTACAAGGGTTACTACAAAATTACTATAAAATTGAAAAATGTAGTAACTCCAGAAATAATCAAATATTGAACACTCTGTTCATAGAAAATATTTTTTCTTAACTATTATCTGAAGTTACTCACTTCTAATTCCTAAGAATTACTAACATTTTCAGACATAAAAGATCTATGCTACCTATAACTGTAAACTTTCATTATCTACATTAAAGTTTTGCTTTTTAATACAACTTACTAAGGATTCACACTGAAAATACTCTGTGGCGGTGAGTTAACTATATACACATAATTCCTTTTTATTGGTTTTAAATATATCCCTAGAAATAAATGAAACTTTAGGACTGTGCTTACGGGCAGTTACTGTTATGTATCTAAACACTGCCAAAGTCCCACTAAGCTTACAACCTTCACTGTGCTTCCAAGTACACATTGTACTCATCAGTTTCTACACACCCATAATAAGGAGACCAGTCATCATCTCTGATTATTTGTGATTTATATATGGATTGAGGAAAAATCAGTATGTGAGTCCCTGTATGTGTAACGTGTGGTATGTGAATGCAGCTAAGAAACCACAAATGTGTTTATGGCAATAAGCCCCTTTCCCCTTTTAGGAAAGGTATCTTGAAGTTTCTTTACCATCAGCATCAATCACTAAACACAAGCACAGTTTACAACACCTATTAGAAATTCTTACCTGTTTATTTTTAGATTCTGCTTTAATTATACTCTTAAGAATTATTTCAGTAGGTTCTTTAAGATGTTCTCTGTCATGTGGAGAGCCCAGCAAAGGTAAACATGCATTCCAAAAGTGTCTCGCTGCAAACATTACCAGGGAATAATTCCCAGCTTCACCTGCATGCCTGAAGAAAGAGAAGTACACCTTAATGAGGGAAAACAATCCCACTATAGCCAAAATAAAGGATTTTATTTCTACAAATATTTGGGTTTACCTGATCTGCACACCACCATACGTAATCTCAGCAGTGAGGAGTTAGCATATGAGCTTCGTACAAAAGCTATTTTCCATTTTTATATACCAAACACCTTCACACATTCAGAAGTAGCAATAAGTATCATATTAGTGACTTTATTGTATTTCTGCATAATCTTAGATCAAGAGCATTCATTAAAAAATAGTAGAAATCTACTTAAGATGTTGTCATTGGAATAATATACTTTTTTGGCTTCCTGTTATGTTAATTTCTCATTTTAAGAACCATTAAAAAATAGAACAAAACAATTATTAGCATGCCATGGATTTTGCTTAGCTGCATTCAAATAGCTTTGAGCATATTTAATGAAAATGTTACTTTGAATTCATAAAATAATTCTCCAGATAGTGATACAACACAGTACTCACCTGAGTGAGCAAAAGCTTGGAAATTTAGTGAAAAATTATGCATTGGTATAATAAAATCAGCAACTGAATAGTTCTACTATTTAAAAAAGCAGTTTTTTGAAACTGGCAATCTGATTACCCTTCAACTCAACTATTTTGCATTTTATCAGTCTTGGCAGAAAATATGTTGATCCCCAAATCTGTAATCAAATTTTAGATCTGTTTTATATTAGTCTTCTCTCATAATAAAATATACCTGGCACTCTGAGCAAAGGCGATTGATGCTGCTACACGCAGGTGTTTTCTTCCACACAATTTTTCCATTATGCTCTGTCCTTGCATCCAGGCAGTAGTGCTTAACATTTCTTGTTTCAGTCTGTTACCTGGCCTGCATAAAGGCAAATACTTCAAGAAGTGCTAAGTCTTCCAGTCTAAGACCATCCCATTTCCTATTAATGAGCTTTTCAAGTTTCTACTATATAGATGTCCCTAGCTTTGGAAGTTAGAAATGCTTCTACTGAGTTTTCCTTTAAAATCAGGACACATTTAAAAACTGAACATTTTGTGAAAATAAAAAATAAAATATCTTTTTTACACCTCTAATGAATATAACTGTGAAATCAGATTAAAAAAACCATTATCTATATTTAGCAAGGGAAGAAAATAGATTTTTAGTTTTCTCCCCATGTTTCAGTGTCATACATCAAACAAAATATTAGTCCAAAATTGAACTTACACAGTAAGCAATTAAAAACAGAAATCAGGAAAATTAGACTATTTCTAATACTTTCTTTTGGAATTTGTAATGCTTATGTCTGGTAACTTATGCACAGGGTTCTGGAGAAGTTGATATGAATCCTATTCTACTACATTTAAAAGAAAACAATGTAGGCTTCAATGCTACAGTTAATCAGTTAAAAATGAATAAGCAAATAAATTTATACTTTTGGCTAATAGTGACCTTGTAAGAAAAGAAGAAATACAATTTGCAGGATTTTTTAAGGTCTTAGTTACAAATGCAGCCATGACCAGATGCACACTCCAGCTGCTCTGTTCTACCCTGTGTGAGAACTGACAGCCACGGTCTGTGTGCACGAGAGGGCACCAGTGCCCACAGCACAACTCAGCAACACACTCAAAATCAACCTCTCTGTCCCCAGGCTGTGCTTTATCAGGAAACACTGAGCCCATCTTCCATTTCTGGAAACAGCACTGACAATGCATGACTACATTTCTTTGTCAAAAAATCAAATGTTTTATCATTCATTACTTTGTAGGTTGCTGGATGTGCAGCAAGTATACTCCCAATTTCTGTAAAGTTCTGAAAATATGTATTTCATATTAAGATCTCTTACTTGGTTTTACATGGCTTTTTTTCCCCAGGCAGAAAACAACATTGTTTTTAATAGAGAAATTATTTTGCAGAGAAAAAAAGGAACAATATATTGTATCCAAACTCTTTCACATGTTTATTTCAAACTTCCTACATTCCAAAAAATTACTGCTAAATGGAGTTGACTCTCCCCTCTTCTGATAAAATTAATTCCTGCTTTTGGAGGAAATTATATAAAAAATAGAAGGATCAAAGGATCCCACCTTTTTATAATAAGGGATTCCACCAATAGATCCATTTATATATGAAATATTTTTGTGGGTTTTTTTGGTTTTTTTTCTTTGGAATAAAAGTTTTAAATAATCAGTTAAGTAAGAGACTGGTTTTTAAAGAAACGAGTTACATTCCTATTGCACCCATATGTATAGTGGCAATAAGACCACAAAGGCTACCTGACAGCAGAGCCTGGAATACAGGAGCTGTTGTTACCTTTCATCACCCCCAGAGCCATCCTGGCCCAGGAACTGTGTAGGCCCTTCGTGTACCAGATGCAGGTCAGCACTGGAAGCAATTTGCATCAGCAGAAGAACTTGAATCAGCTATTTTCTGCCTGGAGATTATAAAAGGGTCAAAATTGCCAGAGATCATTTCAGAAAAGCAATGCTCCCTGGGAAGATGCCCAAACACATGGATGGATGACCTGCTGACTTCCTTGGATAACAAACTTCATCTGTCTTCCTGAACTGGATCCGGTGCCACAATCTGGAGCTCCCACTGCCTTTTACTTTCACTTTCATCTCTAACTGTACAGCTTTTTTGTAAAAAAGATTCTTTCATTTTTGGTTATGTGATCAGATGCATTTACCTTCTATACTCTTTCTTCAAAGCTTAGTTCATCACTGTATCATGCAAAATTCCACGTACTTACACATCATATTTCTTAGTATCTCTGTTGTGGACAGAACTCCTATCTGATTCCAAGATCCTTTTGGAACAAGTTGTCACTATTTCATAGGCGTGTGATACGTATGCAAAATACATCAGTCGTGTCAGTGTCTGCAGCTCCACTAAGGAATCCGACCAACTGCATTCTAAAGACAATTTCACTAACTAGGAGGGAAAAAATAAAGAAAAAAGAGAAAAAAGGGAAAAAAAGGAAGAAAAAAAGTGTTTAAATTTCAGGGTTTTAATATGCTCTGTTCTACAGCACTTACATGCTTACAGCTGTGACTTCCTTACAACCAACTGGACATGGAACAAGTACATAATAAAACCATCTAGAAAACTAAAGAGCTACAATTACAACCAAAATATACAGTAGAGAGGCATCATTCATCTTGTAATAAGTATTACTACAGTGTGTGCAAATCCAGCTGTAAGTGTGCATGCCCTTTGGCCAGAAGTATATGCCAAGACTTATTCTATGTCCTCAGTCCTCTTTCAAAAATCAGTGGAACAGGACTATCAAAATTCAGAGACCATTTTAGTTAAGCCAAAGGTAAGAATGAGAGATAGAAGTGGTTTTACAACAACCAGTTGTTGTAATATATAGTTGCTATATATGTTGTCATATATATGGAAGCTTGGACTCCATAATCTTAGGGGTCTTTTCCAACCTAAACATCTATCTATCTATCTATCTATCTATCTATCTATCTATCTATCTATCTATCTATCTATCTATCTATCTATCTACCTATCTATCTTCTATCTATCTATATGTTGTTTCATATCTAGTTTCATTATAGGATCTAAATGTTTTCATTGCTTTTGTATGTATCAAAGTTTCCCCTTTTTAGGATAACGGTGCTTGTTAGTGAATTGGTCCAAACAAAGATACAACACTGTTATACAAACCCAAGCCAGTGAAGCAACAGCTAAAGCAAACTCATAGTATTTGGCATAAATCTGTAGACTGACTAGAATTAGATACCTATATATTTATAAGGACCCCAATCCTAGTCCTGTGAAAGAAGGACTTCTACAGAAGTGTTAGCCAATGCCACCAGATTCCCAGCTAAATGGGGAAATACATCTCAGTTAAGAAAGCTCTTTACAAGAGTTAGAAATTACAACTGTGGTAATCAAACAGGTAAGGTTACAACTCCCTCTTTTGAAAATATGAGGTATAAAGCTTTCTACACTACCTCTATTGCTCTTGAACAGCCTGGTAACCAACAGGATCACAGGAAAACTGTGGCACTATTCAGTGTGAGTAATTAGAGAAGACTGACCAAAAGCAAGCACTTTAAGAAAATACACATTGTATAAGACTCATCAAAAAGTCACCTAATTCTTTAAATATTAACCAAGTGTAGTTGTTCTACCTTGTAACTGTCAAAAGTAACTTCATTGTTATGTGAAGTTTCCTGTTGAAATTTTGAATACTTCTAATATGAACCCTAAACCTCCCTGTAACTCCCTGACAGGAGGGTGGAGCCAGGTGGGCATTGGGCTCTGCTCCCAGGGAACAAGGAACAGGACAAGAGGAAATGGCCTCAAGCTGTGCCAGGGGAGGTTTAGGCTGGATATTGAAGAAATTTCTTCACTGAAAATATTGTCCAGCCCTGGCACAGCTGCCCAGGGTAGTGGTGGAGTCCCCATCCCTGGAGGGATTTAAAGGTCATTTGGATGTGGCACTTGGGGACATGGGTTAGTGGTGGCCTTGGCAGTGCTGGGGGAATGGTTGGACTCAATGGTCTCAGGAGGCTTTTCCAATAATCTAAACAACTCTGTGATTCTACTAAGTTTTCTCAACAAGAAAAATGAAAGGTTAGAAGTATGGTTCTGTATAGAATTCACCTGAACCCACAAAGCTCATCTGTTGGTTATGGAAACAATCTGTTAAAGCAACATAGACATAATTCTAATGCAATCTGTTCTTTGGAGAAATGAAAATACTCTGTCACAAAAATCTTCTTCCTGTCACAAATATTCAACCATTTGGAAAGTTTTAAGGGAAATAATGGTACAATAAAAGTTTCCAAATTAATTTTGCCTCCACTGAAAATTGAAACTGAAATCACATTTATAATATGCAAGTTTTAAAAACTCAAGAACTAATTAAAAAAAATACCTCAGATAAGCTAGGAACAGTGAAATCCATGAGACCCAAGCCATTACATGAATACATTTCCAGACCAATAAGAATTCTTGCCATGGGATTTTGTGCTTCATCATTATTCTAAGCAGAAACAAAAAATTCACAGTGAGATTTTTTTTTTTTGCAAGTCAGTAATATTAAGAACATTAGTTGAGATGACAGGGTAATAATAATAATAATAATAATAATAATAATACTTGAAAACCTCAATTTGCTTTAAGCAAGTCCTCATCTCTACTGTGTCCTTAAAAAGGGGAATTTTATGTATTTATATATTTTTAATTAACATTGTGAACTCTGAACTACTACAGTTTCAACACTAAAAATCCCCATCAACAATACAGTGAAGGTAGATTTCATATTTCACTGGGGGATTCCAGTTTTATAGACATTATTAAAAAAAAAGGAATAAAATATTGCTTTTCAACTTACTAGGTCTATAATCTATTCATAAAGAGGTCATAGTAAATGTTGATATAAATATAGATGACTTTTCTTAAAATTTTTAATGTAGCCATTTTATTATTTTACACATATGAATTTAAGATCAATTCTGCTCAACAGGCATCATATAACAAATACCACCATGGCAGCAAACAACAGAGGGTAGATTTAAGAAATGTAGACCCATTGCTATGGCCAATGTGAAAAATTTGCTATGTTCCATAAAGATTTGTTGGAACTACAGCCAAAATTTATTTTCACATTGTATCGAAACATACAAAAGAAATTATACATTGATAATTTCAGTCATTATTAAATGAATATATGAGTTTAACTTTTCTTTGGAAAGTTTCATTATTATGCAGGATTTCAGGGAAATCATACCTCATCCTGAGTGCCAAGATTGATCTGCTGCTGATTTAACTGCTTTGCTTTCACCCAGGTAGCAATGACCTGTTGTTGTGCAGCAACAGGGATGGTTCCCTTAGGTGTGGTTCCAGTCATCACACTTAGGGCAAATTCACAAATCTAAACACCAGAAGGAAAAAAAAAAACAGAAACCTGAAACACAGGAGAAATGTGGAAAGCTTCTTGTACAGAACATGCCATTCATTAGTTATTTTAAAATTATTGCACACGCATCTCTAAGCCTGACAACATCTCCTTTAGGTGAGTTCACAAGGCAAATGGAAGTTACAGCCCTGAGCCCCAAGCTGGTAAGGAGCTCCAGTGGAGGATCTGTGTGGCAGAACTGCAAAAGATGGTATCTTTTTACAGAAAATTCCACTACTGAATTTAGAGGAATTGTAATATATGACAGCAGAACAAAAGGAACTACAAAAATAAGGAGGTTGTACCTCTAGGGCCGCTTGGATGTCAGAAAGTCCACTAGGATCCACCAAGAGAGACTGGGTGACATTTGCCTTTTCCTGTTTCTTTCCTGCAGCTTTTCTGCCATTGTCTACTGCTGTATCTTCTTCTTTCTCCTCAGCAGGTTTTGGCTCTGGAATCCAAGGAATAATTAGGCCCCGAGCCAAAGCGTTACATAACATCAGTAAAATCTCAGTACTTCTGTGGAAGAAAACAAAAATCAGAAGTGCAACTGCATCAGATCAAAGGCAGGAATAAAATTTACTGTTTTCAAGTAATAAGTATTAGTTGAAAATCTATTTTTTTCATAGAAAGTAAAATTATAGATGTCGCAAAAGAATTTGGCCATTGGAAAAGCAGTTTAAATTGTTAAAACTACAAAACCCACAATCAATTGTCATAGTTTACATCCATTTTTTAAGCTCTTTTTATAATTGAAGCTTCTCTTTCATCACAGAAAAAAA